TCATTATCATCAAGGGAGGGGGTGGGATATGGTGGGGGTTTGTTTGTTCCTTCTCCCTCAAACTGGGTTTCCAAAGGATAACATACGGCAGAAACCCAGGGATGTATCCGGGGTTGTGCTGGGTAGTTACTTGTGATATTCATTCCACAGTCACGAGGGACCGAGGAAGTTGGCCGGTAACTACCCGCATATGTAACTTGTCGAGTTATGGAGCCCAGGTTTGTCGTATGAATTCCCGGTAACTTGCTGCTTTGCATTGTATCTTAAAAAAAAAAAAAAATAACAAAAAAAAGGATACTCTCCGTTCAATCGACTTTTTCAGTGACTTCCAATGATTCCACGGTTCAACTGCGGGTTATGTACAGATTGCGTACTCCGTATATATGTATGAGACCTGGCACTCCACACCTATCCATGAAAGGACGCCGACAGCGCTTGGTGTGGGGATATGATGACATTCCAGCAGGTAGGGCTCCGAGGTAACCCACAATATGACGCCGGCATTTCTGCGGAGTGAACAAGCTGCCGTGTACGGAGTACGTAGCACTATTCAGCTCGGAGAGAATAGCTGAATAAGAAGAGCTATTCGAGTCAAGTTTCCAAACAGTGGAGATTTTTGAGAAACCCAGGGGTTTTGTTTCAAGCTATACTGCGTACGACCTTTTTCCATGTCAGGCATAATCCTCTGAAAAATAAATTTCACCCCTCCCCCGCCCCTGTTAGCTCTGATGCACCCCGAATCCCCAGGCAAATCAATTGGCACACATCGGTTTAGCTGGCTTACATGCATTCCCTGCGATCTGGGAAGGATTCCCGTCTCTTCCTCTGGTCCATAGGGAATGATAAAGTCGTTCGCTATCTGTACGGACCATTGGAAACACAAGGGATATAACGGATTTTGAGCGTCGGGATCCTGAATAAGCTAATCCGTACCGTGAGACACACGATGAGTCAAGGCATCCACTGCGATGATAGAGCGGAGAGGGCGAAATCAAGAGGGGGGTTACAGGGATACCTACATCAAGTTGTTGTTTCCAGCAGGTTTGCTGCGTGTGAGTGAATTGTCTGGCTACTAATTGTCTCTGGCTACGATTTGGGGGGAAAAGGAAAAAGAAAAAGGCTCCATTCAAAGCTCCATTTAAAGCTCTATCCCAAAGTTAGGAGAGTTCTGTGACCCCCGTCAACCCGGTATCATGATGCTGCTGGGCAATTCCTTTCATGGACAGGCGTGAGACCTAGATTCCAACGAGCTGAACCATCACCCGACGCCCGACGATCCGCGAGGTGACATCGAAGGGATTATCGTGCTGCGCAGAAGCTTCACCGAATATGCCACAGCACGCACATTGCACACAGGGATGGCCACCACAGAGCAAGTTTGTTTTTGAACCTTTTCCTTTTCCTTTTCTTTTTGTTCCTTTTCCTCCCTTTTTGGAGAGCGTGGTCGACGGTACTCCGTACTGAGCAGCGAGCAGTGAGCACTGCTGCAACTTCTGTGTCTCTCCCGTCGTGCCGGAGTCGGCAGACATGTGGCAGATAATGGGAATGCAATGCTAGAACCCTAGCTTCTGATACCGAGCTCCCGCAGGCCGGACGTGGGTTCTCCAACTTCCAAGGCGAATGTTGGAGTAACTAGCATCCCTGCAACTTACTATGGATCGAATGTCACCTCGCTAGGTGGGATTAGCAGGCCTTCCTCTTCTCTTTCTCTCTCCTCAGCGCTTGGTAAGCACCAGCGCACCGCGCCAACTTCAGGTGAGAGATCATCGGCTGGAAAAACCTGCTGCCAGTGGAAGGCAAAAAAATTCTTCGCTTCCCGCTCGCTCCTATTTTTTCCATGAATCCCTGCAACTCTTCAACTTCAACCACCCACCATGCCACCCAACGAAGTGATTATAGAGCAAGCGATCGCTCAATTAATCGACAATTGATTCCTAAATATGCCGAGGTTGCAAAGGAATTCGGAATCAATCGCATTACCTTGATGCAGCGGTTCAAAGGTCAACAGGTCTCCAGAACAAAGGCAACATCAACCTACTGTCAGAATCTCACAAATACTGAAGAACAACACCTCCTATTTCATATTAATCAGTTATCCGATTGAGATCATCAAAATACAAGTAGGAATCAATTGGGTGTCTCACTTTTGTGAGCAGCATAAAGCAAAGATCAAGAGTGTCTATCTTCACACTCTGAATCAAAAGAGAAAGCAGGCAGATAATAGCTACTATTTTAAACAATTCTTTACCCTTGTAATTGCAGTTTTTTTGCTTCTTTTCATATGCAATTTCATGAGCTTTTTGCTGACTTCTATTGAATAGTTGCAGGAGAAGATCAAGCAGTATAATATCCTTCCTCAGAACATCTACAATTTCAATGAAAAAAGCTTTCTTCTTGGCCTTCTTTGTACCCTCAAGTGAATTGTTTCTATAGAAGCTCTCAAACAGAAGCATACAATTGAAGCAGTGCAGAATGACAGTAGAGAATTCATTTCTCTGTTTGTTGATATTTGCACAGATGAAACTACAATTCCATCTGCACTCATTTATCACAGAGAATCAAGAAATATACAAGATACATGGTTTGAAGATTTTGACTCTAAAAAGAATCAGGCATACTTCACTGCTTCAGAAAATGGATGAAGTAATGATGAATATGAGTTAACCTGGCTGAAACAGATGTTTGATCCTCATATAAAGCAAAAAGCAAGAAATCATTACCATCTGCTTATATTAGATGGCCATTCATCTCATATAAATATGGCATTCATTGATTACATGGATCGGAATTGAATTTTGCTTGCTATTCTTCCTCCCCACTCTACACACCATTTACAGCTGCTAGATGTTGGAATATTTGGCCCACTTGCAAAGGCATATTCAGATCAACTAGATTCCTATACACATTCTGACTATGGCTTTATTCAGACTACAAAGCAAGATTTTTGATGATTATTTCATGCTGCATGGAAAACCTCTACAACTATGGAAAATATCAAATCTGCTTTCATGGCCACTGACATACATTCTATAGATCCTGCCCACGTTCTCAAAAAGATTCAACCACATTCATTTACACCCTCAGAACTGCTTCAGCAGCATACACTTACATCTATACAAGCTTTGCAAGGTCTGATAAAGCAGGCAAATCAACATCACCGCCAACTTTCAGTTGATATTAAAAAAATTCTCCACACTGGGGAGAATATTGCTCTGGACAGAGAGGTTCTCTTAATAGAGAATAAGAATCTTCAGACTGCTCTAAATAATGAGAGAAAGCAACACAAATAGAGTAAGTATATGGGATTGCTTAATTCATCAAATCCCTCACTTGCTCAATTCTTTTCTCCCACTAAGATGCAGGTCGCGAGGGAGCAAGCAGATGCTAGTGAAAATGCAAAAATCAATGACCAGGCACACGAGGAGGATATGAAGTTTCAATGAGCAATTCTTCATGAGCAAAAGCAGGCAGAGCTCATGGAGCAAAAGAAACAATGTGAGAAGGAACATTTAAAAACTGCTCAACATCACAAAGAGGCCAAAGCTGCAGCTGCAGCTAAACATCTTATAGAGAAGCAACAGCAAGATGAACAGAAGCTTCAACTGCAAAAAGAGAAGGAAGAACATGCTGCTAAACATCATGAAGCACAGTTGGCAAAGCAGGTGCTTGCGGAGGCCTCAAAGAGGCCTACAAGAAGATCAACAGTGGGCTCAAAACACCATAGAAGCTCTATACAACCTTCTAAAAGCAGTAATAAATGCTGCACGCAGCCCCCCCCAGTGGAATCAAATGATATTCCTTCTCTGACATCTTCTCCACCGCGATCCGATTCAACTGTTTCAAAACCACGAGTTTCACATTCTGAGTGGATTATTAGGCCAAGCAATCATTCTCTGAATTAATCATATATATTTATATGATGTATTCTACACATAGTTTTAATCTTTAATAAATAATATTAATATCTTATTGCGTTGTTGTGCTACAGTTGAAAATTAACGGCTCTATAGAGTGCTTTTTGGAGTTCATTGGGTGGATGAGTTCGTTGGGTGGAGAGTCACGTTAGCGCCCGCCCAGGGCCGGTGGCGTCGGGCGAGCAGGCACACAAGCATCGAGGCCAAGCCACTAAAATTGCTTGTTCTGATCGACCATTGTGCTTGACATGCGTCGATGGAAGTCTGTACATCCTACTGTGCAGTGGTTGGAGAGGAGATGTGCGTGCATCGGGGGATGGGGACCCATCAGCCGGGTTTGCAGCGGTCGATGGAGGGACAGCAGCAGACTCGTGCTGGTGCCATGAATGAATGATATTTTCACTCTTGGGAAGGGAAAATTCCAACGGATACCATTGGTGCCGAAGGAGAGCATCCAGTGGAGCCGAAAGTAGTCCCGCAAGAGACCCTCAAAATTAGGTTCTTTTTCTGTCCTTTTTCCTTTTTACTTTTCACTTTTTAACTTTTTCCTTTTATCTATTCTTCGCTTCTTCGTTTTGCATTCCTACCAGATCTGGGACTCGAGCATCTAGCCATATCCGCTGGTCGCACCCGTGGAACGGGCGTACTCGGGCCGGCCACGATAGATTTTTTATGCTTTTTTTTCTCCCAATCCCATTTCAACCAATGGTTTCGGCTAATTACGGCCCACCTTGTGTGTGTGTGTGTGGGTGCATATAGTTACATGATGATAATAAGCATGTAGTAGTACCTAGGTAGGGATGCGCACCATGCTACCCTCTCACGCAGAACGTTTCTCGGGTTGCCGTTTGTGGGGAATCCCCCACCAGCCGAAGGTTTGAGCTAAGCAGCGCTGCGACTGCGAGACCCTGACGACGAGGGCTCCTTACATAACCCTCCTCCTGCGCGCTGTGGAGAAAATTCTTTCCCTTCGCGTCTTGTCTCCTTTTAAGAGGTGCGCTGCCCCCACAGTTATTTTACTTTCTTGTAATACGGTGATACAGTGATACAGTAATACTGCCTGCAAATAAAGGGGGCATAGGCATCATGGCCGAACAAAAGATTGACGCAGTTGTGTGAGTTCCCTCTGCGTTTGTTCCTGTTTTGGATGGCGCTTGCAGTGAACGAGTGGACGGACCGGTGGACTAATTAGATCTGGATATAAAGGCTTCCCCAAAAACCCATTGCCCATACCCTCGATGAAAAGAAAGGCTTTGGTGTTGAGGATAATAACAAATTGGCTGTCCGTGACTCCGCTTCTGATCCGGAGAACATCTTGACCCCAGATGGAGAGGAGCCGACCGATCTCGAGAAAGCTACCCTGCAGCATGTTGCTGAGAATCTTCCCTTGTCGGCATGGCTGGTTGCCATAGTTGAGCTCTCGGAGCGCTTCACGTACTATGGAATGAACGGCCTGTTTCAGAATTACATACAGCGGCCTCTTGATGGCAGTCTGGGTCGAGGAGCTCTTGGTATGATTGATTGACATGCTTTTTTCCTCCTCCATACATATGTCTTGTCTGGAAAAAAAAAAAAAAAACGCGATGAAAGAGTTGTCATTGACGTTTTTATTTTATTTTACCTCTAGGCCTGGGTCACCAGGGTGCAACTGGTCTAACCACCTTTTTCCAATTCTGGTGCTACGGTAAGTGACCCTACGATCTGCTTAGGTGATTGATGGTGATCATTTGTATGCTGAGGGGATCCGTGTGTTGTGTGTTTAGTAACTCCTATCTTTGGTGCTATCGTTGCGGATCAATACCTGGGGAAATATATGGCCATCTTCTGGTTCTGCATAGTATATATCATCGGTCTCCTCATCCTGCTTCTGACATCGCTCCCGCCTTCACTTGCACATGGTGCTGGCCTGGGCGGCTGTGTCACTGCGATAATCATCATCGGCATCGGCACTGGTGGCATCAAATCGAACGTGGCCCCCTTAATCGCGGACCAATACAAGCGCAAGAAGATGGCCGTCAAGACCACCAAAAAGGGTCAGCGTGTCATCATTGATCCCGCCCTGACCATCCAACGGATCTACATGATTTTCTACGCTTGCATCAACATCGGCTCGCTCTCCCTTCTGGCCACTCCGTACATGGAAAGAGATGTTGGCTTCTGGTCCGCATTTCTTCTCACACTCTGTGTCTTCCTTGTTGGAACCTCTGTCCTGATCCTCGGACGTAAATTCTACGTCGTCCGCCCGCCAACTGGATCGGTCATCACCGATGCGTTCAGGGCTATGTGGGTCATGGTTAAGAACCGGAACATGGACGCGCCCAAAAACTCCTTCCAGTTGGAGCATGGTGGCGGTCAGACGTTCCCTTGGAACGACCACTTTATCGACGAACTCAAGCGCGCCCTCGTTGCTTGCCGGGTGTTCACATTCTATCCCATCTACTGGGTTGTGTATGGTCAATTCTCTGGCAACTTTGTTACACAAGGTACGTAATGATACTCAGAACGGACGGGATAGAGAGGAGAAAGAAGAAGATGAAGAAGAAGAAGAAGAAGAAGAAAAAAAATCTAACAACCAACTTGTGCAGCTGGCCAAATGGAAGGACATGGCATTCCAAATGATCTCATGCAAAACTTCGACGCGATTTCCATCATCGTCCTCATCCCGATCCTTGACCGCCTCGTATACCCCATTCTGCAGCGGCTACATATCCCATTCCGCCCCATCAGCCGCATCACCCTCGGCTTCATCGTCGGCTCATTGGCAATGATGTACGCCGCCATCGTCCAGCACCTCATCTACTCCGCAGGTCCATGCTACGAGCACCCGCACTGCGATCTGTCTATCGTCGACGGCGTCGCGCGCGGCAACCGCGTACACATCGGCATCCAGACGCCAGCATACGTCTTCATCGGCATCTCCGAGATCTTCGCCAGCGTCTCCGGCCTCGAGTACGCGTACACCAAGGCGCCGCCCTCCATGAAGAGCTTCGTGCAGTCGATGTACCTGCTGACCAACGCGTTTGGCTCCGCGCTCGGCGAGGCCCTGCTCCCGGCCGTGTACGACCCCGCCATCTTGTGGATGTTTGTGGGCCTGAGCTGCGCGTCGTTCAGTGCCGGTATCATTTTCTGGCTCACGTTCCACAAGCTGAATGACCGCGAGGACGCGATGAATGCGCTGGACCTGGTGGGCTTGGAGGTAGAGACGGGTGAGAAGGCCGGAGCGACTGTGGCTGTCAGGGAAAACGAGCACGCATGATTTGATTTTTCTCTTCTTCTTTTTTCTCTTTTAGGTAGTTATATATATTTTTCTCTTGCAGCCCTGGAAGGTACCTCTTTTTATGAGTTTTTCGTGTATGTATACATTTACGCCTAGCTTACTACGCAGTGTTTATCGCACAATAATATGTATGCACATCCCCCTCTCCGTTCGTATCAATTATCCCAAGGATTTTTGAGATGCGGAGACGCGATGATGCGAGATTTCATTTACATATTTCTCAGACACCATTAGTGTCTGTGGATGGGTGGATGGATTGGATGGATGGATGGAATGACCTCACAACCCCTCCTGCTTCATCTTGGCCGAAGCTAATCCGCTCAAGTACCATACTTGGCCATTCCCAGCCCTCGGTAGAAGACGGGGGAAGGACATTCGGAAGTGGTTGGTTGGTTGGTTGGTTGGTCGCCTGGTTGGTTGGTTGCCTGGTTGCTTGCTACTATTGTTTATTATTGTTGGTTGTTGTTGCTGGTGGCTCCAGAGGGTCCAGGTGGTCCAAGGGGGTGTTGCATTTTTTCTGAGTAGTAGTAGTAGTAGTAGTAGTAGTAGTTGTTGTTGTTGTTCTTGTTGTTGTTGTTGTTGTTGTTTTGGGCATTGGGTCTGGAGCCTGCGATCCGTGGTTCGCGTGCCCCCTCGGGAGGAGGATTAATTCTCATCATCATCGTATCATCATCATTATCAGCTTGTCGTCACGACTGTTGTTTTTATTACGTTATTGCTATATTGTCACTCTTCTTGGTTTTATATTATGTATTGTTGTTATTGCCATTATCATCATCATCATCATCATCATCATCATCGTTGTTGTTGTTAGTAAATTTATCTCTCGCAATTTTTATTTTATTTTGGTTTTTATCTACTCACTTTTCGCACCCGCGGTGTGCACGGGAACCTCGGGAAAACAGAAATTCTATGAATAAGGGGGTTTGTATCAAACCTCTCGCCCAGGGTCGAAAGGCTCCTTGAACCACGCCATACACCACCCCCTTTACCGGCCTTTCCTGTTGCAGGTTAAAAGTGCACACTCGTGGATCGTGATCCGGGATGCCCCCGTCAGCCCCCACAGCCCCACAGCGGCGGAAGACTGATCACCATGGATCACCCGCTTGTTTATTTAGCTTGAAGCTGGATGGAGAATGGGAAGCGCATGGATAATCAAATGCTGGACAACGGCCCAGTGCCCAACATGGCAGCAGTTCCAGCAATGCGGAACGAAATGACTGCTTGTGTTGATAGTAAATGGTCAGCTGGCAGCGGATGAGGAGAGGATCATTAGAGGACGGGCTTGTTTTCTTTTTTTTTCCTTTTTGCTTTTTCTTTTTTTCAACTAGTTAGATCACATAAGGTTGGTGGTACGGCTGGGGGGACGTTTAGCCGCAGCCACCCATCGCCGTGGCTTGGGACAGTTTGTTAGATTTTGGATGGGAGGAGGACATGAAAGGACGATTTACAGGAAAAACACCTCAGTTTGTCCCCGGGCCCAGCAGCACTGTGATGGGAAGGAGTTGAAGTTCAACGTTTTGTTTGTTTTTTAGCTGTTTCAATCGACTTTTGTGATTGAACGTTATTCCCCCCCCCCCCCGAGTGTTCGTAGGTCCTGAAGTCTATTTTGGATCCGCTCGATCTGGAGTGGCGAGGACGGCTCCATCCATCCATTCCTTTCCCGCTGTCTCTTCGCAGCATTTGCCCTGTAGCTAGCAGCCATGGACAGAAGGAAAGGGGGAAACCTACTGCGTCCCCAGTGGGTGCTGGTGGGGATGTGTTGCTGTTGCCCTTCACGACCACACCATGTCCGCGATACAAAGGAGGAAGTGGGTTTCAGACCCGGTGAATGGCAGAGGGCGTGTATGGGCTGTGTGTCCATGTAGTCCCTCTCCATCCTCGTCCTCGTCCTCATCTTCATCTTCATATCTTGCTGTGTCGCTCCTTTAATCATTGCCATCCGGATCGTTCATCATCTTCTTTGCTCCTTGGGCAATTGAACTATCCACACATTCGCTCAACGCTTACTTTTTCACTTCGTGCATCTGCCGTAGGAGCCATCTGCAGCATTTGCACAATCATGGGGCAGCATCATGAGGCCTGCCGATCCGACAAGCAGGACGAAAAACAGGAATCTGCATGCAGGGAGCATGGCAAAATGACACATCCACCCATACAGTGCCAGCTACCATGCGCAGGGAAACGGGACCGGGACCATGACCATAACCATCCTGCCGCCAGCCACCGTCGGGGTTTATTTATAAAACAGCTCCCCTGCTGCCGTTCGCTGGCCTGGTGCTTTGTAGCACTGCTGTGGTTCACTGCTTTAAGCTCTGTATCTGCCGCCCCTGGATGTCGTCCGTCAGTAAATGTGCTGCCCTTCAAGGACGACGTTGACGACTATAACAAAATCGACTGCGTTTCTGTTTTGAGAAGTACGGTTTGGGCAACCAGCACGACAACTATTACTCTTCTTTTTCCTTCTGCTTCTTCTTCTGCTTCTGCTTCTTCTTTTTCTGCCGCTACTTCCACTCCCGCGGCCGATTATCCTGTCATTTCGCAGACATCTGAGAGTACAACCCCGCGCCCCTACGAAGGCTCGTGTCGGGTTCGTCCCACTCGGCCCACTCACAAACCTCCCAGCCCTAGTTCGCCAATTCCCAGTTTGCCCAGCGTATATCCAACCAGGCCGAGCCCCCCCAGTCCCAGCCCATCACATAACATGTCGAGTCCTGACGGCTATAAGTCTATTGTGTACTACGTCAATTGGGTATGTTGATTCATTGTTTTGAAACTGTTGATTAGTTTGCTCTTATATTAAAGATGACGTCGGTTTTGTGTTGCGGAATCCCTGTAACCGTTTAGGACAGGGATTTTAAACTTCAAAGCATGTTTTGTTTTTAGCAGGCTATATGTCAAGAATTATTATACCCTCAAAACAACAGCACCCACTTTGCTATCTTTTGATATCCCTTTGTTGACTGGCCGTTTTGTTCTGCGTTATATTTATTTCCATTTCTTTGGCTTATTGGCTGTTAGCTAATTCCATGGTACAGGCCATCTACGCCCGTAATTACAACCCACAGGATCTGCCAGTGAAAAAGCTGACCCATGTTCTGTATGCGTTCGCGAATGTTCGCGCAGAAAGTGGAGAAGTGTACGTTGTCTTCATCATGATTGCCCGTTTTCCTTTCCCATTTTGTTTCCTTGAAAAGCTACATTTTACCTAACATTGGATCCCGCCTCACTCTTTGTTCCATTTTAGTTTTCTGACCGATACCTGGGCGGATACCGACAAGCATTTTCCAACTGATTCGTGGAGTGAGACTGGAAACAATGTCTACGGTTGTGTTAAGCAGCTTTTCCTGCTCAAAAAGCAGAATAGACACCTGAAGGTCCTGCTTTCCATTGGTGGATGGACATATTCTCCCCATTTTGGTGCTGCCGTGAGCACACCAGCCGCCAGAACTAAATTTGCTGAATCTGCCACGCAGTTGCTGCTTAACTTGGGATTTGATGGTATGTGATATCACTGCCTATAGGAGACCGCGAAGGAAAGTCCATGTGGATCTCGGGTGTGCGGTGACTAAATTATCTGACTTCTTTGTGACCGACAGGACTTGACGTTGACTGGGAATATCCCAAAGGTATGTAATTACGTTTCCATGTTTTGTGTAAATTGGGCTGCATTCGCTAATACCATTATCACCAGATGATGAGGAAGCAAAAAACCTTGTCGAGCTCCTTAAAACAACCAGAGAGGTATGATACATTTTTATCTCTCAATGAACCCAGATCTTCAATTTGCCAAGCTGATCTCCTTTCCATCAGGTGCTCGATCGTGCAGGTGGCAAAGATCGCAGATTCCTTCTAACTGTAGCTTGCCCGGCAGGTATGCATAGATTGCCCCACTGTTTGCATATTGCTCACTTCAAGGTACTGACGTATATGGTCCAGGTCGCCAAAATTTCGAGAAGCTCCGCCTCGCGGAAATGACCCCCTATCTAGACTTCTATAATTTAATGGCATACGACTACTCCGGAAGCTGGGATACGATAGCAGGCCATCAATCAAATATTGAGCCCTCAAAATCCAATCCAAAGTCAACTCCTTTCTCCACCAAGGAAGCTGTGGATTATTACCTTGGCGTCGGCAATGTGCCACCCTCCAAACTTATTTTGGGCATGCCATTATATGGGCGCACTTTCGCCGACACTGACGGCCCCGGAACTCCCTTCCATGGAGATGGTGGCCAGGGCAGCTTTGAGAAAGGGATTTGGGATTACAAATCCCTGCCCAAGGTGGGAGCCGTGGAGTACATAGATAGCCTTGAAAAAGGTGGTTGCGGTGCATCATGGAGCTATGATTCATCCTCTCGCACAATGATTTCGTATGACAATGTGGCGATGGTGGAGGAGAAGACAAAATATATTATTCAAAAGGGCCTTGGTGGTGGTATGTGGTGGGAGTCGAGTGGTGACAGAGACCCCCGCAATGGAGACAAAGCCAATGGCAGTCTTATTGGCACCTTTGTTGAAGGGGTTGGGGGAAAGTTGGAGACGTCGGAGAATGCGCTGAGCTATCCGGAGAGTAAGTATGACAACCTGAGGGCCGGGTTTCCCAATGGTACGACACAACACTAGGAAACTTATAGGATGGCCCCATTGCGGTATCTATCTGTTTATAGTGCATATCTGGAGGAATACGCCACGAACTTGTTTTGTATTTCCCACGGCACGCCCCCATGTTTCGCAGGTGTATGTATAGCTTTCTTTTCTGCCTCTACTCCCTATATTTTCACCACGATTTTACGAAATGTCATGACGCCGCGTTCTTTGCCCACTTTGCTTTGTCCATAATGATAAGTTAGGGAGAAGACAATACCCGCAGCATACACAAATATTAGACAATGAAACAAACGTTCATCAACCATCAACATGCTTCACATTTATCGATCTGCACTTCGCACTACGTATCTGTTGGGCTTAAGTGAGAAAGTTAAAAAATAGTTTATATACTGAGGCAAAAAAAAAAAAAAAAAGAAAAAAAAAAAAAAAAAAAGGGAGCTCGATTACACCAGCACCATGCTAGCTAGTAACTTACAGAATATAAGGGCGACGAATTCAATCCAAGCTAACCCTCCAACAAACCCCCACCCCCACAGACCTGCCATTGATCGGGTATAATTAATGGTGGTCCGACAATGCTGAGGGTGACTAAGCACGTAAATATGTCCCCATCTGTCAAGAGACTGTGCCTATGTTGTAAGGATCTTTTTTGGACCTTCGGCGATTCGAGCCTGTGGCATGCTCGCACCCTGCGGCGCAGAATTTGCAACTATCACGGGGCCTCGTAACAGGCTGGGCCACTGGGGCAATCGAGCTCGATTTACACCGGCTTGATGCTGGTATAAGAAGGGGATGAAGCAAGAACTAATTCGGATAAAATTCCCCCCAACGAGGGAGAAAAAGAAAAAAAAGAAAAAAGAAACAAAAGGTGAACTAAAATATGGAAGTCATCTGATTTCATTTAACGCTCTAAAGTACAAGCGCGGGTAGTAAAATATATAGATATTTTTTTTTTTTTTTTTTTTAAGAAAAAAAAAAAAAAAATACATGTACTTTGCCCCTTTTGTCTCGTACCGAAGCAGATGAACCGAAAATCAAACCGACAAACCGACCAACCAACCAACCTCCACCCCGCTCCGCCTATCGACTTTTTTATTTGGATTCGTCAAAGACGTAGGTGAGATGGCACTTCCCGCAGTACTGGCGGTTTTGCATGGCAGCCATGAAAACACCGGCACCGCACTACATTCATCGAATATTAGTTTATGATTACTCCGTGACACTGGACCGGAGAGGGACGGCCAGAGTAGCGCCCACGCAGGATGGGCATATATACATATATGTATATTCTGATACACAAAACATCAAACATAGAACATACCTCGGGAGTAGGGCACTCGCGGCGCAGCCGCTCGATCTTCCCATCGCCATCGACCTTGTAGTACTTGAGGACGGCGAGCTTGGTCTTCTTACGCTTGTGCTTGATCTTCTTCGGGGTCGTGTAGACCTTCTTCTTGCGCTTCTTGGCGCCGCCGCGGAGGCGCAGGACGAGGTGCAGGGTCGACTCCTTCTGGATGTTGTAGTCGGAGAGGGTGCGGCCGTCCTCGAGCTGTTTGCCAGCGAAGATCAGGCGTTGCTGGTCTGGGGGAATGCCTTCTTTGTCTGCGGGGGAGAGGTGTTAGAAGAAGCTGACGAAGAAAGTAGGTGATAAAGTGGGGCTGTTGCGGTTTTGACCTTACCCTGAATTTTACTCTTGACATTGTCGATGGTGTCGGAAGACTCTACCTCAAGGGTGATGGTCTTGCCCGTAAGGGTCTTTACGAAGATCTGCATTTTTAACGGAGGCCTGTGGTGGGAGGGGTGGTTAATTGTGAGCTCTGGTATGTTACGACATTCTATACGTTGATTTGGGGGGGTTATGTGTGGGTTTAGAAACCAGCAGTAAGGAGGGTAGTGAGAAAGGTTCGTTTCCACATACCTCGACAAATTGTCTTCCTCAACCTTCGTGTGCAAATCGCTGCTGAATGGTGATGATGGTTCTAGAGAGAATTGTTCAAGGAAATTTGTCGAAGCGAGGGCTCTGTGGATCACGTGAATGTTACCTTGACTCACTAATTATGCACGTGATTAATCGCCACAGGGCTGAGATGCACTAAACCCGATGCGATGTTGCCGGGCCAACGGCCTTTTGTTTTGGAGCTGCAATGCTTCCGCGATGCTGCCCCACGCCGACGGAGCATTTCAATTCCCATTGTCAGTCTCCAACGTTTCAATCCGCTATTTCCTATCCTTACATGATATCATCATTGCCTATACTACTACTCTTTATGCTACTCCCCAGAACTCCCTAAGTCTGCTCTCTATCTTAACCTAGTACCTCTCACTCTGTACCTCTCGCTCCCATTTTTCATTGAGCTTCATTTGCATATACTCGTTGCAGCCCATCCCAGAGATCGATTTTTGATCCCATCCTGATCTAGAGCTGGCCGGTGAGGATACTCGGTATATTTTATTGTTATTGATAATTGTACCCTAGCATTGTCGACCGCCGCAGCTTAAATGTCTTGAATTGTCACAGGTCATGGTTCTTCAAAACTCTTTCCCCCTCCTCTCCGTCTGTATGCTGTTGTGTTGAGAGATTGAATCCCAAAGCTTGTGGGCCCACTGATCACTCTAAATTTATCAGGCGGCGCAGATATTTCCGAAATTGCAAGCCGGAAATTGTAAGTATAACTTGAGCGGTACGAAAAAAGTCGTATTCAAGGTACTTCATATTTTCGCATGGAAATCGGGATTTCGAGCTCTTCTACTTTTCCTGTCGCAGACACAGATATGCACGGATATCAGTCGCATCGCAGAGGTGCAAGTCTCGACACCAGTGTGTTGGGACAGTGTCATTTTGCATCTATACCACCACGGCTGGTAATGAGTTCTAGCTTGCCACAGTTTTTAGATATCGCCAATCAGCAAAACGGGGTCCCGGCAGCCCAAAGACCATGCACTCCAAAGGAGCAGACTGGATCAGGTGAGCCCCCTCGGGAGTACTGTAATATAAGCACGGCAGGCTAACAGCAACAAGAATCACTTCCATTAACGCCGGCAACAACACCGTTCCGGAGATCGAAAGATTTTTTCCTGAATTCCAAAAGCGCCCAATTGTCACCAATAAGGAGACGAGCGAGGAGAATTGTGAATAAAGATGGATCCTCGTCCATGCAACGAACAAGGTCACTGCAAGGTGTCGTTGGAAGCAATTTCACCCAACCGAAAGCATATGACCCCTCTCAGACAAACTCTGCATCCTTCAATGCCTTCGATAGCTTCACCACCCCGTTACCTGATATTGGAGATGACGTGTTCTCCGATTTCACTTTCCATCATTATGATGATCCAAAAAGTTCCCCAGTGTCCTTTGACCTATCTCCTTTCCCTGCCCAATCACCCATAAACTCGCAGCCCGAGCCCACGGGTGAAACGCAATGTGCAGAAGCTGGCAACAGCCTCGCTCAGCCAAGCATTCCGATTACCCCAGCCATTCCTCTCATTCCCGCATATCATCAAACTGCTGACCCAAGTCCATATTCATCGCCACAGAAGGCACCGTTATCACCACGGAACATTTCAATTGCTGATCTGAATTTGGACGACAACATCAATGCTTCAATTGAGGAGACTGGCATCACACTTGACGACATTGCTGCATTCATTGAGGGTCCAGATCCTGTCGACAAAAAGTGGGTGTGTACCTATGGAGGGTGCAACAAAAGATTTGGAAGAAAAGAGAACATCAAGTCGCACGTTCAGACCCATCTTGGAGATAGGCAGTTCAAATGCAATCACTGCAACAAATGCTTCGTCCGCGGCCACGACCTAAAACGACACGCTAAAATCCATACGGGAATTAAGCCCTACCCATGCGAATGCGGTAATAGCTTTGCCCGTCAAGATGCCCTGACAAGACATAAACAACGAGGAATGTGTAGTGGTGCATTTAAAGGAGCTGTACGGAAAGTAGTAAAACGCGGAAGGCCACGAAAGCACAGGCCAGAGCAAGAAGAACGGCAAGAGAAAGCTATTAAGTCGCGCATTGGAGCAAATATAAAGTCCTATGCGAGCTCGGTTTCGGAATCATCCTGCCTTTCGCTAGCTTCTCCTCCGAGTGAAAGCAACGATTCGGGCAGCGTACGTGAATCAAGCGTTGGTGGTGACATGCAATACCTACACAGTGACGGGTTCGGCTTGCCTCCCGGTGTCTTCTCTTTCACACCCCCTGCATCTCCGGGATTCAGTACTGGAAATGTCGCATCTCCTACCAGAAGCTTGCGCTCAATGACACCTACAATGGACCGAAATTTCCTCTCCCTCTCACCGACAAAAAGACCTCTTGACGATATTCCTGAAGAAATCCCTGATATTCCCCTTCTTCTGGGTTCCCCAACCCCAGTCAAAAAGGAATCTCAAATCTCTTCCTCTCAATTTTTGCTTCCGTCACCCGCAGAGCCTACTTTCGCGGCTGCGCACGGCTCGGATTTTGACGTCTTCACTGGCAGCCAACATACAGCCCCTGCTTCTCTATCCACAATTTTGGATGAGAGCGAACTTGTTTCACTTGAAATTCCATCTGCGGTCGGGTGTCTTCCGGCCGAGCCGGGTGACCCTATTCAGTCCGGATATGGATCAGAACTTTTCCTCGCTGCTACGCCTGCCCAACGCGATAACGTCGCCGATCTTGGCCTCAGCTCTCAATTTTTCTCAGGGTCATTGTCGCAGTACTCGGACGATTTCTTTAGCAGTTTTTCTTCGGAAGTTGGTAATGATGTGTGATATGTTTTACGATATGGTAAGCAAAAATTGTTCTACCAGGCCGCCCAACCCATGTCATATTCGGAATACTGACCTAACACTCAACTTTTAGGTTTTCAGATGCACAAAACTTGTGACATTTTTTTCTGCTCGGCGGGAATGCATATTATGATAAATAATGACTGATTAATCCCCTCCTTTTCCACGTTTCTGGACGTTGGAATATGTAAGCTTGGTTTTATTCCATCTTTTGTTATGCTTGTTTCATTTTATACCTAGTTTCCTTATCTTCACTCCATATTTTTTGGCTTTTTTGGAGCCTCGCTCTCTTTTACTTTTTTTCCCGGATATTTCTTTTTCCTACTATTTCTTATGTATTCCCTCATATCTTTCCTGTCATGGGGCAAATGTATATTTGCTTTGCTTTGCGTTGATATCTTTCAGTTATTATAATTCTTGTAACAACACAGAAACTGGGGGTGCGCGAGCTCTTCAAATGCAACAATGAATTTGGTTCATTCTTGTTTTGACTTTTGAGAATTCATGGGATTTTGGACAGGAATGGATTTAATCAATCTTTCTGGCGAAAGTTCTTGTTGGCTTTACTAGTCCGTGATCGATTGGCATTGTTATTCGGTATTTTAATAATATTAGTATTTATTGGAACGAGCAGCTCCTGACGACGTGGATGCGAGAGAGTCTTGAGAAGAAGCGGAAACGACGTGATATCTACCGTATGGCGGTAAAAGCAAAACTCTCACTCATAATGGAATAAGCTGCTAGTAAATCTAAATCCATATTGACTAACTATATTCTCTAGCGCAGGAATACAATAAATATCTGTCCGGACCCACCCCGAAACCTCTTCATCGTAGAAGATAATTAATGACACCTAAAATATGTATATAAGGAAATGCCATAGAAATGAACTGAGTTCATTGGTAAAATATAATATATATATATATATATATTTTACCGTACAGAAATCAGCAACATTAAAAACGAAAGTGAAAAAGGTGGACGAAGCGAGAGACAACCTAAGCCTCACGCCAGTGAATTTCTAACGATAGTGGATGCTGTTCTGATGATTTGTAGATAGGGCTTTGGCCTCGACGTCGCGGGATGACGTCCGAGTAAAATACAGTTTGTTCGCCGAGGGATAGCAATTCGTCCATCGCCTGGGACAGTTTCACGTTAACAAATGAGTATTGGGATTTGATTATCCGATGTATCTATGGTGGGAAAAAGGGAAGGTAGAAAGAAATTGCTTACTGTAAATGCAGTTGGGTTGTCTACGTCTGCGCTGCAAATGAAGCCATCGTCATCGTCGAAGGCGCAGAGTCCTTTGCTTGATTTAAGGAAAAAGTCATCTATGGGGATCATGAGGTTAGGCATTTTAGAACCGCAGCAAAAAATTCGAAATGAGTGCACAAACTGTTAGGGCCTGGTACGGCTTGGAACGTCGCACATGTCCCGGAGACAAACCAGCCCCCACGACTGATAATACAACCGTGCTGTCTTCCCGAGTATTGTATCATTAGCTTCCCTTTACCGACAAACGGAGATCCTGTTGGAGGCGCTCCAGTTGGCTCCGGAAATGTCTTTGTAGGAGATGGCTCTCGACGCGACGTTTTCTTGGGCCTGTAGCGGATTCCATTCAGAGGGCAATTGGATGCGGCACCAACTGCATTCCATGTTAGCTGGAGGCATTAATTTTGTGAGCTTTGGTGTGCCGCTAGATAGACAAACCTGGACTTGCTGGAATGAATATTCCCAACTCTAATGGCCCTGCAACGTTGAAGTTGTAAGATATCTCACTGAGCATGCCATGTTGACACTTAATCCTAACGTCCTGACCATGGGCTTTTTTCAAGGCAGATTCTATCGCATCACGATAGTAAGTTTCCGTTTCTGATGGGACAATCCCAGCGGCGGAAAGAATCTACGATAGTGGGTATGAATCAGTCATGTCTCGTGCCTTTGAACTCATCTTGCACCCAAGAAATTAAAGCTTTTTCTTTCCCCTAGGCCACGTACCTCATGAGACGGCAACTTGAGGAATAAATCAACTGTCTTCTGAAAATACGTCACAACTTCCTGCTGGGGAACGTAATCCGGGTAGCAACGGGGCTCCAGAGTGCTGATGCATGTCCCATGTTTATTCCATTCATGTATCCATAGGTGCTCGTCATCGCCACGAATATTTTTCCAGCGAGCTCTCATCAAATCCAATAGCTCCATCTTGCCACTTTGTTCAATGATAGCGGATATATTCTGGTGGCGACGACTGTCATCGCAGAATTGGTCGAAGCTCCCATCGCAATGATCAGGCCTGGGAGGGGATCGCAAAATCTTAGAACCGACATCTCCTCATGCAGATGGGGTAGAGATGGGATGCTCACCATAGCCCATGGATTGTCCATCCATCCTCAGGTCCTCTGGGTGGATCAACGTCCCAAAGTTGCACCTGTAGAAGCTGTCCACCAGGATAATTGAAGCAACATGTATCCTGTGAATTGAACTCAACTTTGCAACTCAGCTGCGGATCCGGACAAGAATGGAATTCTGCCACTTCTGGCGTATGCCCCATGGGATGGTTATTCCAGAGCGGGATTTGGGAGGCTCCCAGTGATGTCACACGCAGGACTTTTTTTGGAGAGGGAAAGTTGGGCTTCAACCATCCGACGACTGCGTCAAATGCATTCCAGAGTTCGTCTTTCGCCATCATAAGGTTGGATGTGCCTCTTACACGCTAGATGTACGCAACGATTATGGGCGCTATCCTTGGGTCGTTGGAAGATATGTTGAGCTGGCTCTGTGCCTGGCCGACGGTGAGATTCTCCAAGTTGCTCAGGGACACCTGTAGCCGCATGACCGACAATAGGCAAGACCATTGGCGCCAGTTCAACAGCCAATCAGCAATTAACCACATGCCTAAATTATATAGCTGTACGCAGTAGCAATCGAGGTAGAAAGGGACGGTTTGAAACGCCAATAAATAAGAAGTCTCCGCGACAGGATGTAGCTCCTCTATATGTGGATGTGAACCTTGGAAAAATCTCCCGTCTTGAAATGCCCGAACTTATGACACCGCTTAGCTAACCCAGCTATGACACAAGCCGCCAAAATGCAGGGGATCGCTCCCTACCAATAGCTCACAGTTCAGGTCCTAACTACCTGGCTAACCCTAATCCATAACTCCTAACCAACCTCTAACTTAGTGTGGAGGGTGGTGAGCATATAGTAGTTAGTAATTTATTTACTATTTATTTGGCCCTAAATTGTGAGATTGAACAACAATGCGGGGCTTCTTGCTATTCATTCAAACTACTTTGAATGCTACTTACTATGTATGCAAAGCTGTGTATATTATTCCTTTGAAAATGCACTGTACAAGTAGTCATTTTAGCAGCGGTGTGGTGTAATTGTCAATCTCTGATCATGATATCATTTTGTTGGGCACTAGTTGCCCAGTCGGCCCGACACCGCACGTGATTACCCCTATATATAGTTAGCTAGCGATCGCACAATGAGAAGATCAACCATCCCACACATTTCCCCTTGAACCGTTTGCCAAAGATTGCCTTGTTACGCGCAGCTTATTGGTCAAATTGCCGCGTAAGATTGAGTTAGTTAGCGCCCTGTAATTGGCGATAACCGAGGCAACGTCGCTGCCGAACTACCAGCTATATCGGAGGATAGGCCACAGAGCGTTCCTACAACAAACTCGACTAGACCGACGATACTGACCGCGATGGCGGACTGAGTAAATGCCTCATCCGCTTATTACCGCCGGATAACTACTTGGATCGTGCGGTTCCGAATGATTTAGATCTCGCGTCCTGACTGGATCTCAGATCACGTACATCGACTCAGATATATCAAGCAAATACCTCCACGGGGTATGCTTCTTGAGCAACCCGCAAGAGCCCGCAGTTCCTTGACGAGGAAATTTACGATAGGAATATCTCAAGATGACGACCCCCGTCCACACGCAAGAGTTCGAGGATGCCATCAAGATTACATCCCTGTCCTCGCATACCTACTCTGCGGATTTGGCATCGCAGTGGTCCATTGGAAGCGGTATGTTTTCCCCAATATACTTTTAAAATGTTTTGAAACTCAGCCATAAACGTGGCGACACCGTAAACTCGAAGTTCGTGGTGCTGTAGATTATATACCATTAAAAAAGGAGAGAGATAAAAAGATAAAATTATTAGTCTGCGGCTAAACCGAAATTTTTGGCAGCTCCCAATGGAGGGTATATAACTGCAATCTTCTACCGGCTTGCAACAACCCATTTCCAAAACACGCACCCAACCCAACACTCCTCCCAACCAATGCCAATCAGTATGCAATTGACTTTCATCCGGCGCTCATCGATAGGGTCTGCTATGTTGACAGTCCGCGATGTGAAATTGGGGTTAAGGACGTCGACGATTCATGTTACATTGAGTCAGCTAGACTCGTCAACCTTGCCGGTAAAACAGATTGACAGGGTTACCGGATACATCACGATCTCGGATCCAATATCAGAAGTCGGAGTATCCACACCTTGTAGCTGGAAACTTTATCCCCCGCCTCCAGACTCCAAGCCGCCGCAACTTTCTAATGGGCGACCAGTCCAAAACAGCCCCTGGAAGAAAACGATCGTGAAAGAGCCAGCTTTCCGACGCGCATCAAACAACTCGGAGTTCTGGGAACCGGTGGCTCCATGCCTGGATGAACGACGAGGGATTTCTGATCAATGGAGCAGGCTGCGGCCTCAGGGACCGAAGGGAGGATTGGGGAGATGGACCAACGAAGCCCTTGCATACTTGGTTGATATTTTCCCTGTGGCGTTGGAAATGATAGAAAGTGCTACTGTCGACGAAATGGGAAGCCCACCACCGTTCTGGTTTCCCACCATTGCGTTGAATGTTGATTTCAAGAAATTTCTTCCCAAGGATGGGGTGGAATGGCTCTATAGCCGAATTACCACAAAATCCGTTCGTAATGGGAGGATCGACATTGAGGTGATAGTGACGGATGAGGCGGGAGATATAGTGGCTCTTGCGACACAGGTAGGGCTGGTGTTGGGATCAAGTCGTAACACTGGTGAGAAACGAGAAGAAAACGGCCAGCGAAAGAATGCACGTCTTTGATTTATCGCGAGCGCTCGGCTTAGATGGGGATTTCACATAGATAGCAAATATAAAATAACTTGTTCAATCCACAGCCATGATCTTCCACCACTCATCGAATCTCTAACATTGCGTCTTGCGACCCATTTTATCCAAAGAAAACTGAACGAGATGTAAATGTGTTGAGTGGTATCATTTAAAACAAAGAAGACATCCAACCATAAAAACTCCTACCATGCATGCAATCCCCATTCATCTTAAATTTCGCTTCCCCCTCACAATTCATCGCCCGGTCCGTTCCGTCAACTCCACAACTTCTACCACATGCTGCTTTTTCTCTTTCCATAGTCTCAGAACTTCAAATCCCACTTCGACAGCAATAAGTGCAATGATAATCCACTCAAGTCTTAGACCGTGGGTTTCACTTAGCCGTTCGCGGAGGACACTGGCTATCTCTTGCGCGTAATCCATCTTCTCATTAAGCACTTTAATTCGGATCCCTACGTCCAACGCTCTTCCAACCTGGTCATAGTATCCCTCCAGGCCAAGTTCGTGGCGGCTATCCCAGAAAAGGTCGGGCAGCGAGTCTGTCAACTCAGAGTATAGGTTCAATTGAGCCCTGACGCTAAGGAGCTGCCCAGTTTTTTGCAGCACGAAGCGCCGTGTAAATGGCAGGTGAGTGCCTTTAGAAAGAAGGGTCGGGATGTTGCGGGTTGATTCAAAATAATTTGAAAGGAGAGTTTCTAGAACAGCCAATTTGGTACTCCGTGCAAGCCCAGATGAAAAGGCAATCTTAGTTAAAATATTATCTACACCTTCCTTGCCGTCAACCCGCAAATCACGGCTATCTGGGCTAATCTTTGTGCCGAGAGTTATAGTGTCTCCCTTAATGCTGCAGTTCTCTCTGTTGGGGTCTTCGATATAGTCGAGATCTTCAGTCTCCATCGAATCAACGTGTGGATTTTCTGCAGCCGGGAAAAGCACAGATGTAGCCAGATAAGAAACAAAGTTATCAGGGAGTGCCCAAGCCACAACAGTACCGGACGGAAATATGAAAATATCACCAGCTTCCTCAGGCGAGAGATCGGAAGCAGAAGGGCTCGCAGTCCTGCGGAGTGAGTCTAGTGGCACTTGCACATGGACAACTTGAGGATACAAATCTGTCTTGAATGGGTCTGGCTCATATCCTTTAGATAGGAGGATTTGGACTACTTTCGCTAAGTCAAATGTCTCGGCAACAGCGTAGGCGGTCACAGTCTACATCTAAAGTCAATACTCACAGAAAAGAAAAAGAAAATCACACGAGGTAGAAGTAAACACCTTGGATCTCGCTAGGTCTTCATCAGCCGCCTGGGCCTTCTGGCGCATCCCATCTTTAGAACGCTGCGCTTCTACAGCTACCCGCCGCAGAGATATCTTGGCAGCGGGGGACTTGGATAGTTTCCGTTTTTGTTTTTGTGTCACAGAGGCGGCTTCAGCGTCAGGTGGTGTCTCTGGCTTCGCATGCTGGTGGTTAATTTTAGATGAGAAGAACTCTTTCCTCCATTGAGGGAAATTGGTAGGACGAGAAGATGGTGATAGAGTATGGTCGAATCGTGAGATAGCAGGTGTTATTTGACGAACTCTGCAGCCGGAACTTAAAAGGCGCCGTGCAAACATGGCAACAGGGTAAATAGAACTGGACTATATTAATCTAGGCGGGCATTGCAACGGCTGAATACATCACAGCTTGAGGCGGAATCCATGAACCTTGGAATCAAGCAGATATCCTAATTTGGCATGGAAATTCAATATTCCGTGCTGACGCGCTTGCTTAATCATCCATCCAGGCAAGCTGGAGCATCCGTCAGTAGCTAGGCCGTTAGCACCGCTTTGTGTTATTTTGTTGGGATCGATGAAAGCTGCCGGCATGGAGGTGGACGACACAAAGGATTCTGAAAGTGATGATGTAGGGTCGAAACTGACAAGGCGGGAAGCGGACCCTACCCTGCTTTCCACTCCACCCCGGGAACCATCGGCCAAGGACGATGATCATAGCGAAGAATCAGACGGAGAAGATGAGGACGATGGGGAGGAGGAACCCCGACTCAAGTATGCCTCATTGACCAAAAGTATCGGCTCCGTATATCGAACCGGAGATGCGACAAGCTCTTTTCTTGCTGCGGGGGACAAAATGGTCTGTCATCTATCCGAACTGCAACCCTTCACAACGGGATTCAGCTGACATCTTTTTAGATCATTGGGACACATAATGGAAACATTGTATGGGACATTTTGAGGTCAATAGCTTTCTCGGATTCTTGCTGATCTTGCGTAGCATGTTTTATCCGTACCTTCTTTCCAAATTCTTCGTGTTTATCATGCGCACTCCGCTACTGTTTCCTCCATCTCAGTATCGCCTTTTCCACCACCGCTTCCCACTTCCCAGCAGGATACATTTCGAAGCCACTCCAGCGATAGCAATAGCATCAACCCGCACTATTCTCCGCAAAAAAATAAAGGAACTTCGAACACTCAACAGCCACCTACGATCCCGGCGACCCCTTCGAACTCTATCTATATTGCCTCTTCATCGATAGACGGAAATGTTTGTGTGTCATCGCTAGTTGATCCAAAAGATGTCCTCCTGCGCAACTTTGGACGGCCAATTCAAGCTGTAGCTCTCTCCCCTGCATACAAAAATGACAAATCATACATTTCTGGAGGACTTGCTGGAAAATTGGTCCTTACAGTAGGGGGTAAGGTTGGGGCGAAATCAAACTCTACCGTTATGGGAGGCTCTACTCCCAACACTTCGGGCTGGTTAGGCTCTCTCGGCCTGGGCGGAAATAGTGGGAAAGACGTTGTTCTACATAGCGGAGAGGGCACTATTAGCACCATAAAATGGTCGATTTCAGGGAAATATGTTATGTGGGTCAACGAAGAAGGAATTAAAATAATGCGGTCAAATTTGCATCTCGAAAGCGCGGACTCTGACTTTGCTTGGAAACGAATGAGCCACATCGATCGACCAAACCGTCCCGGATGGGAGGAAATGGCGAGTGTATGGAAACCCCGAGCCGAGTGGGTGGACGAAAATTCCATGGACGTCGACGACAATTCTGAGAGTCTGCAGTCGCAAACGCATTCTTTAAATACGAACATGAATAACGGCCGTAATCAAAGCGCAGTCGAAAAGCTTCTTGTTGGTTGGGGTGGCACTGTTTGGATCATCAATGTCTTCCCAGGTGGGTCGAGTACGGGGAAGGATGTTGGAGAACGGAAAATTGGATCTGTTGAAGTTGCAACTATGTGAGTAATAGTAAATACCTAATGTAAGCTTATGGGACATACTAATCAACTCGCAGATTACGCACTGATTGTATTATTTCAGGAGTTTCGCTATATACCCCAAATTTGCTTCTTGTGCTTTCATACCTGATACCTGAAGACGACAACGACGAATCCAACGCGAAGCAGGCAGGTCCTCGACGCGGAATTCGTCATCGACAAAATGGCCTTGAGCCTGAACTTAGACTAATTGACATCGAAACTAAAGAGGAGCTTGGGGCCGATACTCTGACTATTAAAAAGTATCAAACTTTTTCTGCTTCGGATTACCATCTAGGCGTACTACCTCCAAATCGAGTACCCGCAGCAACAGTACAGCGAGGCGCGCTCGAGGCATTAAGTGCTGGACTCTGGGACGCTACTCTATATCCTACGCGCCTTTTTAACTCCGCTGCTAGTGTTCGGAGTAATGGCAGCAGTGTAGGCAAAAGCTCGAGCATCCGTGGAGCAAGTTCAATAAAATCGATGGGTTTATCAGCCAGCGATATACAGGCGAAGGAGCTAGCCGTTAAGGCTACCGGAGGGATCAAGATATTCGTCCACAGCCCTTACGACTGTGTAATCGCAGTAAAACGAGGCATTGCAGATCGCTTATCTTGGTTGGATCGTCATGAAAAATATGAGGAAGCATGGGAGCTCATTGTCCAGCACCCAGAAGCTGCGGCCGCAACCTTAGAGAGGGCGGAGAGCCTACCTTCCACCCCGACTAAGCTGCAAAGCACTCTTGCAGATTTTTTTGCTGATGATAATGCGTCCGTCAAGACTGCTAGTCAGGCCGCAAACTCCGCAAACTCTGCTGCAGAGATGGAGAAGCGTCGTATTGGAGAGCGTTGGCTGGAGCAGCTTATTAGCCAGCAAAATTGGGAGAGAGCTGGACAAGTGTGCGGGAAAGTCCTGCGAACAACATCTAGGTGGGAACACTGGATATGGGTTTTTGCACGCAACAACAAATTTGATGAAATAACGCCTCACGTCCCAATTGAGATCAGCCCTCCGATACCCTCTTTGATCTACGAAGTTATTCTTGGACATTATGTTTCCCGAGATCGAATCAGATTCAAGGAACTACTTGAACTATGGCCTACCGATCTCTTCGATGTTACAAGTGTAACCGCTGCCATAGAAGAGCAACTCCAATCTACAGCTGTTGAGCCCAACTCGGATGACTGGACAATTTTGATGGATGTTCTAGCCAAACTGTTCCTTTCAGAAAGGCACTACAGAGAGGCTCTCCATTGCTACATCCGTCTGCAGGATGATGAGGCGGCAATGCGATTGATTCGCGAATATCATTTGTTAGATGCTATAGCTGATGATATACCCGGCTTCATTCTCATTCGAGTCTCGAAAGAACAATTGAAAACAGCTTCTATACCCGAGTTGGATGCCGCCACAGCAGAACCCATCAAAATTTTAGTAAGGGAAGCTACCAACGGTGTCGTTGGCCCCGAAGCTGTTGTTTCACAGTTACAGCTCGCAGACCGGCGACTCTTTCTTTTCTTCTATTTAAGGGCGCTCTGGCGAGGCGATCCCACATCAACCACCCCAAAAAACCATTCCAGATTCCGGCACCAGAAAAGAGATGCTGCTAAGCTTGCGACTGACGAAAGACGAGCTCTAATTGATGGCATTGCAGATACTGTCGTCGAATTGTTTGCAGAGCACGATCGCCAATTATTATTAGAGTTTCTCCAATCGAGCACATCCTACTCGTATAGTGCTGCCAGCTCGATATGTGAATCTCGCCATTATACCCCTGAACTCATTTATCTCTTATCCAAAACTGGCCAAACCAAACGAGCACTCAACCTCATCCTGTCAGACCTCCACGATGTCTCATATGCGATCTCATTCGCCAAGACACAAGATGACCCAGATCTTTGGGAGGACCTCTTGTCCTTCTCAATGGACAAACCCGAATATATTCGCGGCCTGCTTGCCGAAGCTGGAACTTCAATTGACCCTATAAACCTCGTTCGCCGTATACCAAGCGGCTTAGAAATCGAAGGGCTCAGAGAAGGCCTTACCAGGTTGATTCGCGAGCATGACATCCAAGCATCCATCAGCCAAGGCGTGGCAAAGGTTTTGGAAGGAGAAGTCGCGATGCGAATGGACATCTTAAGGCAGGGACAGCGGCGAGGAATCAAATTCGATATCGTCCGTTCCCCTTCTGAACCAGATGAGAAACGGCAGGCTGCCCAGGAAACCGAAGATTTGAAAAAAGGTCGTTGTGCTGGATGCCGTAAGCTGTTTAGTGAGCAAGGTATGTTAGATATCTATAATCAACCGTCTTTCCTTTTTCTCAGTGTAGTCCCCTGTTCACCTGCATGTATTGAGCAGGATAACTAATCCTAACAATTTTCTACCCCACCCTTCAGAACCGAACCCCTCATCGGCTTCGCTTGCGGCCACATCTTCCACGCCTCCCACCTCCGCCATCAAGACCAACCACCCACCGCCACAGAACATGAACCACGCCCAGCCTCCCCAACCCCAACCATCCGCCCGCCCCCACAAACCCCTTCACGACCACAAACGGCCTCAACCTCCCTATCCTACCAAGACTACACAACAACCCAATCACCATCCTTCTTTTCCCGTACCGTCGGCCCCAAAGTGACCAATGCACTCCTCCTACGCGACAAAATCGGCGACGGATGCGACATTTGCTCATCGAGGAGGAATATCGAGCAAGCGGCCCAAGCGGGCATTATGGTGGTGTAAGAGAACAAATGTGAAAATTAAAAGAAACCCCTAGTATTATTTTTTCCCTTAAGAGGGGTTTTGTTTTGTTTCTCTTTTCTCTCCGGGGACTTTTAATATGTGCTATCTAATATGGGGAAGAAGAAAGGGATGGTGGGGTTGGGGCCGGGGGGGGAGAAAGAAGTGAAGGGAAAGGTGAAGATGATATTTAATAATACAACTTTGCGGACATTTTACTAATAGACCAATAAAGTAATAGCAATGGTTAGTCGAGCTAGAAGACTCTCCGGGGGGATTGTCTCCCTAGTCTTCTTCTTCTTCTTCTTTTTTTTTTTTTTTTTTAACGGGAAGGGCAATGCTCTGGAGGGTTGGAGGGGTTTCTTCTATTTCCCTTCCCTTACCCCTCCCTCCTCTATACCCATTCTATTTTTTATTTCCAATGAGAAGGCCTGGGGCTTCTTAACGAAGGACATAAGCGGTTTCTTATCTACACATGTTCTTTTGCCATGCGACGGTGTCAAGGGTCGTATGGATTAATGGGGATTTGGTACAGGCACGGGCGAATGGTTCGGTTTTCTCCGCAGCAGGTTTCAGAAAGGTGCGCGGATCGTACCATGTACCCTCCCCATCAGTCAAACTACCGGTGGAGTGCAAATCCCTTGTGATATCTCCAGGCAACCACGCCAGGACCTGCAGTACCACCCTCAACTGAGCATTGCTGAGGTGATCACCGACCACCCCTTAGGCTATCAGTCTGCTTTAAATAGTTACATATTGTTCATGCGGGGGCTGGTTGAGGAAATCTTGAAGAAGGGAAAAGCCCGAGGGTTTCTTAAGATGTGAGAATACTTGAGAATAATGCACGTGGGTATTTTTTTATTTTTTGAAACAGAAAGTTTAGGACTAAAGCATATTGTGTTTGAACGAAGAATGCTGTGTCTTATTTTCGCTGAATCTATTCCCAGTATGACCCCATTAAAGCCCCCTTGCTGCGCAATACATCTGCAAAATATCATACATTCCAATTGCCCCCCACAGCGTTCAAAACATTTCCGCAAACAGAATTCAAGGAAAATCATTTCAAGTCATATTTCATACATACGATGATGGCTATTTGGCTAACCATGCAAACAGACAACTTGCGATTCTTCAAATTGACAATGAATCCATACGGATTCACTGTCACTTCGTTAGGGGTTCACAATGCCGCAAGAGCAGCAAATGCAGCAACACCAACAATGATTGTCTCGTCAATACCACCATTGCGAGTTGCAAAGTTGGTTTCGGCCGGTGGAGAAGGTGTCTCAGAGCTGACGGGGGTCGACGCGGAAGGGGTAACTCTGGAAGCAGAGAAGGTGCTGCTCGCAGCCACAGAGGACGTCGCAATTGGATCAACAGAAGACACTACAGCGGAAGAAACTGCCACACTGCTGGAAGAAGGAAGAGGGAGTGGAGTTGTTGTGGACTGGATTTCAGGAACCTCAGATGACGAAGTCGCCGGGTCAACCGGTGAGCAGCTGTCAGCGGTAGCAGTCACGGTGACAATGTCTACAAGGTGTAAGCGTTTTTACTTCGGAGGCTTCCATCAACTCGGAGGCAGGATGATGGAGGAAAGAGAAGGAGGCTAGATGACATATCTACCACCAGGGGGAAGAGAAAGGGGGTTAAACTTACTCTGACGGGCAACAATCTTGCCAAGGAAACCCTGGTTGCCCAACCCACGAGCGTCGTCAACGCCTGACGGGTGGTGTTAGTCAGATTCCAACATGTGCGCAGGCATGGGCTTCTTTGTGTGCAACTCACCGGCTTTCTCAGCCGCCTCACGAGGGAGTTTTACGCACCACTCCCAAAGGCCAGTAATTCATTTGACTTACATGGTGTTCCTTTAAACACGGATGTGGTGGTGGTACTAGGGGGAGGAGGGTAACACAGATAAAGTGCCAGAAATGAAGAGACCAGAAGAGCTTTACAAACACTTTACTTGCAGCAGCAGCCATGATGGCAAAGACCATAGTGGCCCAGAAACACCATGGATTTGACAGACATTGTGATGGAACTTCGCTTCGATCCAATTTCCGGGGCAGAGAGGCTGGAAATGAGGATGTTGAGATGGGAGAGGGGCACAGAAATAGAATAGGGGGATTTCGGATAGTGTGGCTAGAACGACCGTGATGAAATTGGAGTTGGGAGTTGATGGAAAGGGGCTGGAGTTGATGAAGATGTTGGATGAAGTGGGTGCCGTTGGTGTCGTGGGTGCCGTGGGATGGGAAGGGGGAAAATAGGAAAGCAGAAGAGGAGAAGAGGGAGACGGGGGAAGTGGGAGAATTTAAAGGACGGCGTGGGACAAGCGAGAAGCGAGCACGGGAAATTTAGACGGGCAGGCGCCGGGCAACCGAGTCCCTTATAGGAAGGAGCCAGGCATAGCTGTATTATGAAGCTGCTTCCCAAAGAGGAAGACGCCCCCTGGTGAATACGATGCCGTCGTCAGCTTCCGCGGAAGCCACGCCAGGCAACGACACACGCTGCCCAGCAACCGAGACGACATTGTCCCGTCCACGCACAGGGTTGATCACGACTGTTGCCATCGATGCAGCAGGAGCAGGGTCACTGACTATATTCTCCGCCCCTCCGCCGCGGAGCCACGCCAGCGGAACCATCTTGCTGCCCTTTCTTGGCGACGGCGGAACCCAAAAAGGACTGGCTGAGAGACACGGCTCAGCGCTAAGAAACGGCATTTTCCTCTTCCTATCTCGGAGGAAGCTTGTTCCTGCCTATGTAGTTTCACCGCTTCCGATTGCAGCATGCACTCATCACATCGGGCCTTCCTACCGAACAGCAAATCCCTCCTGTTGCAGGTGACCATCGCTCAGGAGCAGAAGTGGCATCAGCGAACCGGCTCTTGCCTGGGCTTGCGGACCTCATGCCGGGAAATGCACGATTATAATCATACCTATTCCCCTCAAGACTGGCATTACAACCAAGCTCCATCCACTTGCAATATTATATCCTCTAAACAGGTGTCGGGAATCAGTGGCTTTTGGAACAACAAATTTGTTCCTAGCCCCCGTACACAAGTAGATAGATAGAATTCTTGTTAGCTCCTATGTGTATTTATTTACTTTTATATAGAATCAAACTCCATGGCCAGCAATTTCTTATGCGAATGTTTCATCTCCGTGTGTTGGGGATCATCGAATGTGAAGTGAGGCTGCAGAGAAGCGTTGTGAAGGAAGGCGACATCAACTATGACAACATGATTCCTAGTACATGTACATGTACTGTACGTCGTTCTACAGAGTATAATAGGGGGGCATGGTACCATGATTAGACTTGAATAGGGGATAGTCGCACACAGTACATTAATCGAAATAAGAATCCCTATATCTGATTGCTTCACCACAGTCATCCCCTACAATGGAGGTATCAACACCATAAATTAGGAGCCCATCTCCGATGCACACTCTCGACCGATTGACTCGGCCTACCATCTCCCAGCCCACTTTGGCAAGCGCACTACATTGTATCCGTTGTAAAGTGCCAGAATTTCTTGGCCTATTTCTTCCAGCTTTTCTCCAAACTTGGACGGATGGTTGCCAAACAGCATCTGCCAAGTCTAACCATGGAGAGTACATACAGCAAGGACGCCCTCGTCCATTGTACAGAATATACAGCCTTGTCTTCCATTGAACCATTATGCCAACACCCAGCCTATCAGATAGCCAAACCTTCCCTCAATTGTTCCGTTGCCCGAAGGAAGTAAAACATCATCCCGTCTCCAAACACTACCACCACCACCACCACCACCATCATCATCATCATCATCATCATCATCATCATCATCATAATCATCACCATCATCACCATCAGCAAATTCACATGCCAAACCTCGCATAAGCCAATTCTCGCCCTCAGCCACCAACGTCATCATGATATCAACCCATGCTCCAAGAACGGCCAAGAAGCCAAAAAAAAAAGGGGGGACCACCCCACATTCCTCTCTTTCCGCAGTAGGCAAGATGGGGAAACAACAACCTCATGCGGCGTCATGCCTCTGATGGGTCCACGACCCATGGGCCCATGGGTGGACCGATCAACTGGCCCGAGGCTAAAAAAGTTTGGGTTCCGCAACACAAAAGCTTCGCTGTTGAGTTTGACTTTTTGAGCGGGTGTGGTGAAGCTTGGTTACGTATGTTGGTTTTCTTTTCTCCTTCCCATTTCCCCTTCCTTTTCAGATTTTGGTGGGATTGGCTTTATTAAGTTTTGTGTTTTGCGGGGGGGGGGGATATGCAGCAGAGAACGTGGGTATAGCTTGCTGGGATGTAAGACATTTCATCCCTCTGCACCAACCACGACTCGGGGACATTCAATCCGTTCAGGCAGAGTATCTCGGCTGGCAACTTGATGGAAAAATAATATCAAAGGGTAACAAACAGACATAGCGGGAAGAAAAACAAGACCGAAACATCCCACCAATCCATATCCAAAACTATAATAACCCTTCCCTCTCCCCACGCACAGATATAGCAAATTTTGAACTTGAGCCAAGAGACGGGCCGGTTGTGGGGCTGTAGTTGTCGCCTAAAGCCCACATCCATCCCCGGTTCCTGGACCCTGTTCATTCTCATTCAGTTTGATACAAAGTATGATAGTTTCGTGGTGCAACCCACTCTCGCCCTCATTAGCACAACAGCATAATAGTGAATAAGCATAGCAGCTCTAGCTAACTAGTACCCATCGACTTGGCCCTTTCGGGCTTCAGGCCATTGGGCAAAGTGCTCAGAATGCTGACCAGGCTTAATTTTTAGGCTTAATTTTTTAATATGACATGTTTTTTTATGGCAATTCAGACAAACAGACAGCTAGCTCGCTACCTCTGCTGGCTATAGTGAAGCTGTTGTAATGAGTGAACGCCGCTTCATCCAGAGGGGAGCCTCCCCGCCAAATACACGTAACTTTAAAAAACATCTAAAGGCATCTTTAAACGGGCCTGAGGAGATATGAATGAAAGTTCGCCCCCTCCAAGGTGGACGTCCAGGGGCCGAACTTTTGCCAAGAAACTCTGAAATCACTACATCTCAAACAGTCCCAGAACATGAGGCATGAGTTAGAACTAGGACTAGAATCGCCTCAATGGCAAAGAGGCAAAGAGAACTTGTATGAAAGGATGGAGAGAGGAACGGAAACATTTTGAATTAAAAATCAAAATTCTCTGTATAGACAGACATAGATAGAGGATGAGTGGCACGATTTGTTGAACCACTGATTGCTCAGGCGGCCACTTCACCGGACGCGATGAACTCTATATATAGAGTTGTCAAATCAAGGATTTGATAAGTTCTATTAGCAAGGATTTTGTAACATATCTTGTGATAATTTGAAACCTGAATCATCTTACTATATGAAACTTAGCAATGCCTCATTATTACTCAGCGCTGCTTTACTCATATAATCAAGCATACTCTTTGTGATAGATAGACTGACTGTTCTTATTTTCATTTCTGAATCACAATCTCATTTGATTCTATTTTACAATATGGTATTAAATGAGATTAATTGATTGATATAAAAAAGAAGTTGATTTTCTTATGAATTTGTGAGGATTTTGAAGTGAATAGAGCTTGCTCTCTTCCTTGATGTTTAAACATCTCTATAACACTGTGATAATGTATATCAACTGATTTCATATATATTTTTTAGCAGTTTCAGTGTAATTAGGGATCAATTGTGCATTCAAATCATCAATCACAGCTTGTATAACTGCTTCACGGTGCATTTTGTGAGTGGTTAAAGATGAATGAAGAATGAAGATTTGAGTAGATGTTGGGTGCAAATGGGTGTTGAGTGGTTGGTTGATCTCACTAATGGAAGTGAGTTCGCTTGGCACAGTTACCTAGGTTAGTAGAGTTGGGGGTTTGGTAGTTTGGATTGGTTCGTTCCCCTCTACTACCAGCATGGCGCTGGTGATCGAGCTCTTTCGCCCCAGTGGCCTAACAAACAAGTAAGCTAGCTCCAAATAACAAGATCAACCATCGATCCCACACAATCCGACCCAGTAGATTGTTGTTAGTTGAAGGAGAAGCGTTTGGACCAGCCTCGAGAGTTTTGCCGGCCGATAATCCGCTCATCTTATTCGCCTTCAGCATAAACTTCTTCTCCAAAAAGCGAGCTTCATACTAACACTCGCACATGAATCAGGGGATGAGCAGACAAGTAATTTCAAATGCTAGGGGCAAAACGCGCTGTTAAATAGTCATTGGAGATATGTATAGCTATAGGAGGAGCTCCATGAAACATAGCTGAGTGTCAGATGGAAGCAATAAGCTCAGAAAAGCCTTGCGCTTAGATATTATCTATATCATCAATGAATATAATTGCTAGATATATCATCGATAGATATCATTATCAAGATGTTATTGCGATATGATAAGATGAGCGGCGTTCTAGCAATTTGATTGATAAAAATGGGAGTTTGGAACCATTCCGTCATAATTCATCACGGAAAGAATTACGCCGCACGTTTCCCCCCAACGTTTCGCAATTCCTGGGTTCGAAGCTGGGGGCAAAAAAAATAAGATCTGTTGGTTCAAAGTTTGGCCCGAAGCCCTTCTCTCCCTCCATTGAAGAAGCGGGACTTCACAGAAAGAGAGAGCTTTCAAGACTGAGATTGCTTTCCACTAGGAAAAAAAAAAAAAAAAAACCAACAGCAAAAGGATACGGGTGCTGATGGCCTAAGTCGGGTCCCCGATAACCTTCTCCATTCAACATCATACAAACATACTACTCAATGGATGTTTTTAGCTTTGTTGTTCAGCGGCACGCGTGGCGGAACTAAGTTGGAGTCTTGGCCGTACTTGGCAAGGCGGCGAAACGGTTCAAGCACTCCACACATTACGTCATGCACTCTTGCCTGCATGTTAACTTTAAACTATAGTAATATATAATTATACGCAGTTAACCAACCAATCCACGTATCCATGACGGAAAAGAAATGCAGGGGGTAGAGCAAGGGACACTCACATCGTATTACTTCCTAGCTACGTATTACCATATTAGCGTGGACAATGAATGCCGGGGGGAAGAGCCGATCTTTTGCTCCAGGTGTTCAGATCGACGAGGTGGTTATGTAACAGCGGTGTTAAGAAAAAGGGATTCGTTTTTATAATTCCGCGTAATTACCATAGTTGCTGTAACTGCGTGTTCGTGGGATGGAAAGGCGTTGTTACTTCATCGATGAGAGATATGGATGATACGGGCGAGGTTAACCGTAAAGTATAGCTACGGGTTTTGATTGAGCTGTCGTTAGATGCATTGTAATATTTAGCTTGCTCCGGTAAAGGAATATGAATCTCGTGAGTGATTAGAGACGTATATTAATTGCAGGCTAATCAACGTAAACAAGACACTGTTGTACAGGTACAGGTACAGGTACAGGACAGGTATAATCAACCTAGAGTTAACCGCCAATTTCAAGAAAGGGAAGAAGAGAAGTAGAAAAGAAACGTCATCCACCCTTCGTCAATTAATTTCCTGTGGCTTCATTCGCCATCCTTGAGACAAAAGTAAAAGGGAGAGGGGAAACAAAACAAAAGGAAGCGAAGATATTCCCATGAGCAGGAACAAAAAAGAAAAAAACCCAAAATGGAGAAAAAAGAAAGAAAGCTAAGGGCGT